CCACACACACACACACACATAATATGCGCACGTACTGGCGTCCATCTTTCTCTAGTTATATCTATTTAGTTACGGTATTTATTCCGCACAAGAACAAATCTATACAAACACGAAATTGGCATACAAATGTCCTACTGGGATGGCAGTACGCAATACTCTTTTATAACACATTTCTCTGTGTGATGATTGCTTTATCTCTATCTCTATCTCTATATATCATATTATTTGTGAAAGTTCGTCACTTTGAAAAAAAAAAAAACTACCGATGGTCCAGAATCATTTAAATGGTGCAGTTATATAAAGGAGTCTGAAGTTACGGTAGTTTAGTTTTCAGTTTTTCGTTAGTTTCGTTTAGATCTAATCTTGGGAAAGTCCGTTTTCTAAGACGCCATTGTAAACAAGTGAGGTTTCCGTTCACTAGCCGTGCGCTCTGTTTCCACACCTTTGAAACTCCGGAGTGTACAACCACGAAAGCGGAATAGAGAATCAATCTATACATCTATTAGAGATTTGGAAACTTGGAAACACATGTGTCACGTTTCCCGTAAAACTACGACAGCTACAGAGTTGAAAGTTGGCAAGTACCTGCAAAAAGATAAATAGGTTCCCGTGACTGAGCCTGATTCTTTATTTATTCATTTCCTGAATTTAGAAAAATAATATTTGACAAAAGGTTACCGTCCTTCTTTGGCCTTTTTGATTAATCCACTGAGAAACGAAACAAATCTGCGCAGCTGTCCTTCACAACGGAAGTGCTGGAAGTGATATTTCGCACGGCGCATTTTGTTTTGAGAGTGTAGATCTGGACCTTCTAATTTGTTGCATCTCCCAAGATTTATTTCTCCATTCCAGTAGAGTGTAAATATAGTAGGCCAATGACTTTCAGTTGATGTTAATGCACCGATCATTCCTTTAATCGAAAGGGGGCCCAGCTAGTAATATTATATCTTCTTTCTGTACTTCTTCTTACGCTCCATTTACTGTGTATTTGTGTGATACCACCGAATTTGTTATTTTTATTGGTTTTCATCTTTTATTTTTTGTTGCTATCAATTTTGCTTGGTTTTTGATAATTGTTGTCAAAGATTATTTGGTTTGGAATCTAATGGTTTTTTGTTTTTATTTTTCCCCATGTTCCGGCGAGATTCAGAAAGCACATTTAATTTCTTGATTTGCCTTTTTTAAAGCTATTGTGATCACATCTAGATGTAAAGATCTCTCCCTCTATCTCTCTCTCTCTCTCTCTCTCTCTCTCTCTCTCTCT